CAACGCTTGGCACAGAAGTCTTGAAAGTGTTAGCCCTTGTGACTATCATTACTTGTGCCCTCCTCGGAGCTCCTAGCCTCAGTGAAAGCTGTCCTGTGTGACCAATATTCCTCAGCCCTTCTAGCTCAGTCTTTACTTCTCACGGCCACTGAGGTGCCCAACGTCCCCATTTATGTAAACACCTCGTTTCCAGTGTCTAGCCCTGCCACCCACTCCTACCCCCACCCCCGCTCCAAGCGCCCTAAAGCTGGCTCCTGGATTCCTTGCGTAGTCCGTAGGAAGTCACCAATTTCATACATAATGGGTTCCTGAAAACAAGTGCTCATGTGGCAGGAGACGCTTACCGGATAGAAGGAGGCGTTCTGTGCCCATAAAGCTGAAGAGGACTATAAAATCCCTAATTAACCTCGTATTCGCAGCTCCTCTCCGGGTGATGTATTCTTGGCATTTTGTACCCACAGGTTCTTTCACAGTCGAAAATGGGCAATGACCGAAGTCCAATGAGGCTAAAGATTTGCCATTTCAGCATGCCCATTGATTTTCACCTTTATCTCAATTAGATTGAGCCCTGTGGTGATCAATTTCAAGATTCATTTTTCTATTTATCCTCATAAAACGTGAGACGAGTATAATAAAAATATTCAGATCATTGTAACGGCCAGGGAGAGTACTGGTAAGTAGAATAAAGCTGCTGGAAGGTAATCGCTGGCTGGCGGGCAGCCCCCCTGGACAGTGGCCTGAAACATCGGGGGTCCTCTTTGCAGCCCTCGGGGGGCGCTACCCCATCTCCTCCCCTCACCATGACCTTCGCACCAAAGCCACCATCCTCTCCCTTTCTTGTCCCCTCACTGAAGCCCAGCTCCTGTTCAGAGCCCTTTTGTACACTGGCCCCGACTTTACCTTCAACGCAGAGTACAGGTGAGCTGTCCCTTACTACCCTCCGTCTCTTTTCCCATTTGGGGAATTCCACTCAATTTGGAAACCTTCCCAGATTGATTAAAGAAGAGCTGGCCTGGCCAGCGTGACTCAGTGGTTGAGCATCAAAAAAATTTCCCCCCACCCTTTATCATCTCTCCCCCCAACTTTCTGTGGAATTCTCCCCAAGTCCCATCTTTGTCCCTGCAAAATATATTCAATCTGGGCCTGTTTCTGGGCCTTCACCGCCCATTCGGGTGCTCAGTTAACACAACGCTGTGTGTTACTGTGTGTCACCCGTGTGGATGCATCCCTATCGCTGCACCGTCTTCGGTTTCAAACTCCATGGAAGCCAGGACGTGGGGTCTCCTCTGGCATTCCAGCATGTGCCAGAAGCATATGCATCTTCTCTGGTCATAATGAGCTAAGGGGAAGCCAGTTTTCTCAGACGTGAGTCGCAAATGGAAATCTTTATACCAAACACTACACGGCCCATGACCTATTGGCTATTGTGGTGACTAATCTTTCCTTCTCCTAAGTGCTGCCTTATGCAGAGCCACTGACAAGAGAGTTTCTGTGTCAAGCAAAACTAACTCCAACCACAAGGAGCTGAACTTCCTGGGCTCCGGGAAAAGCTTTTAGCAAACTCAATGCCGCCGGCAGATGCAGACAGACAGCAAGTACAAACCTCCCGTCCCAAGGCCTGAACACCACGGTAGCTAATTAGGCGACAGAAAAATGCAGAGCGTTTCATAGCATCAGTTTCCGGAGTTATAAGGAACCAACTATCTCTCAGAGCTGTCGCTAGGATATAGAGTTCCTCTTAGAAACCCCAATTTCCCTTCCAGGTGTCATTCAAAACAGACAGGGGAAAAAGGAAAATCAATACTGGAAACACCAGGGATTCTGCCGGGCAGCGTCTCACGGAAATCTCTCTGTGCTTCTGCGGATCAAACAGCGCCTTCTCTGTGTGCAGTCCGGAGATAAGCACCATTTCCTCGCGCGCTCCCCCTGCCTGCCCCTCGGGGCATTTTCATTATTCTCCGCTGAAGATTTTCTTCCTGTGATTCTTTCTTTAAAGCTGCAACTTCAACGTGTTCACCTCCAAAAGCCGAGCCATGGAGGGTCCCAGGTTCAATTCCAGTCAAGGGCACATGCCTGGGTTGTGGGCTCGATCCCCAGTAGGGGGTGTGCAGGAGGCAGCCAATCAATGATTCTCTCTCATCATGGAGGTTTCTATCTTTCTATCTCTCTCTCCCGCTCCCTTCCTCTATGAAACCAATAAAAATATTCTTTAAAATAAAGATTAAAAATAAAAATAAAGTGGCTCTGCACCCACATGAGACATAAAACCTATATTTAAATAAAGTGTCTAGGGTAGCCTTCTCTCCAGTCTAGCACCTGAAGCTCAGGAAAACCCCAGATTCGAAACTGCAAAAACCTGGTCCCACCCCACCCCCCCAGCGACTCAGCATCCACCCAGCAGTTCCTCTGATGAAGCTCGCAATAGAAAATGCCATGTGGTTATTAGCTGCGAAGTGTCTGGCATGCTTCGCAAGCAGCCTTAACCACTCAGCAAACCTCAGGGCCTCCTCAGATAAATAAGTCGCCCCCCCCCAAATGTCCTGCCCCACCTGTCCTGAGGGTGGCCCCCCGAGCCAAAAGGCGACTGACATTTACAACTTGGTTGAAACCACACCAAACCCTGTCTATTTTAAATGTCAACGGGGAAGGCAGCTGGGCCGGCAGGCTTCTCCAAGACCCACTGTAAACCCACTTCCCTATAGTGAGATTTAAAAATCAGTCATTAGAGGCAGCAAGAGGAGGGAGTGAGGACAACTCTGACCTTAACGTCAAGGGCACCTGAAACGACTCACATTTGTGACTAATTATCTCTTTCCTAATCTTTATGTCCGTCTCTCGGGGCAGGAGCTTTCTGTCCAGCAGTGAGACATCTGACCCAGTAGAATCCCAGGCTTCTGTAAGGTCTTGCTTGGTCCACATTGAGAGTGGCCGTTTTCCACTGTGTGTGCGCACGAAACGCCTGGCATCTGTCATTCTTTTAAAGTACACATAAAAGTCTATGCTTCCTGAATCATTAAAAAAATAAACAAAAGGATGCCTGTGTTGTTTTTAAAACCTAAAAACTCTTTAAACTGCCTTAGAAGTATGTTCTCCTCAGATACAGAATAATACCATCAACCTGAAACCAAGATGTTATCTATTTTTCTGTCACTTTCCCATTAAAAGAGGTGGGTTACACTTTAGAATAACAAATATGAATATATAAAATTTTTTAAATATTTTTTATTGATTTCAGAGAGGAAACAAGGGAGAGAGAGAGAGAGAGAGAAACATTAATGATAAGAGAGAACCATTGATCAGCTGCCTCCTGCACGCCCCCTACTGGGAATTGAGCCTGCAACCCGGGCATGTGCCCTGACCAGGAATCGAACTGTGACCTCCTGGTTCATAGGTCAACGTTCCACCACTGAGCCATGCCAGCCTGGGTGAATATATAAAAATTTAATGAATATGTCGCTACTCTGTGCTAGTCCTGTTCTAAGCACTTTACAAATAATAATGTATTTAATCCTCACAACAACTATGACCTCTATTTTTACAGAACAGGAAACTAAAAACAGAGAGGTAAAGCAACTTGCTCAAGGTCACACAGCTAGTAAATGGCTATGATGGGTGCTGAGCCCCAGAAGCCTGACTCTGAGGGCCATGCTCTTGACCACCCCGCTCCATTGTCCCCCATAGCTAGTGTTGAGTGCTTCCCATGTGTTACTTCATAGAAACCATACAGTGACCTATAAGGTAGATCATACTTTTATTCCCATTTTACAGATGAAGAAACAGAGGCACAGAAAGGCAAAGCGGCTTGCCCCAAGACCACTCAGCCAATCGATGGGCACTCTGACTCCATTCAGGTGTCATGGGACACCTCCCCATACCCTTTCCTCATGTCCCTGTGGGTAGAGCCAGGAAGGCAGCTGTGTCAGTGACTAGAAACCATTCTCTGTCCAGAAGCTGTGGCTCAGTGGTTGAGTGTCAATCCATGAACCAGAAGGTCACGGTTCGACTCCCAGTCAGGCCACATGCCCGGGTTGCGGGCTTGGTACCCAGTGGAGGGCGTGCAGGAAGCAGCTGATCAATGATTCTCTCTCATCACTGATGCTTCTATCTCTCTCTCCCTCTCCCTTTATCTCTGAAATCAATAAAAATATATTTTTAAAAAGAAAGAAAGCAACCATCCTTTAATGGAACCTGGAACTCATTTGCCCCATAACAATCGTGTTTAGGTAGGAGAAACATTACATCATCTGATACAATTCCATCTTTAACAGAGCAGACCAAGACGCTTCCCCACAAGAAATCACTTGGCTAAAGGGTACATATAATTAACCCAATTAGATTGCCACACAGAGGGGCGGGAGGGAAAGTCACTAGAGAAGCAGTTTTCAAAGTGTGGTCTGGGGTTCCCTGGGGCACTGGTCAGACCTTCTCCACATGGTCCAAACTATTTCCTTAGTGACACCGGGCTGCTATCTACCTCACATCCTCTGGGCGTGTCCTGCGGGGTTCTCCAGAGACACCCCCCACAGATCGCCACAGGCTGAGCGGGAAGATTCGAGGTTCCAGGGCCCCTCTAGGAAGCCAGATGGGGCAGAGATTTGCAAACATACCCAACAATGCTCTCTTCTACTTTTTACGCTGAAAGTTATTTTTCATAAAAGCGCTGTTTATGCCAACGTGTACTAGGCTTATGATTAAGTGAATTACGGCACATTGTAACATTTCTTGGGTTTAATTCCTATGGTGAATGAAGGTAGAGCTAATCCAATAAGATAACATTTTAAGTGCATAAAGGGATCTTGAGACCAAAGACCCCAGGAACCACAGCCTGAGATGGTGATGTGTCCGTAAGAGTGGGACCACACGTGCCCCACGCCCCGTGCCCTGCAGGAACTCGGGACATTGAACAAAGACCCAGGAGTACAGTAGGAGTAGGGTCCATCCTTTTAGGTACATGTCCCCACAGGCACAATAATGATGGATGCTCAGACCCACACACTTACCTGGAAATAGTCTGTAATGAAAGCTCCGAGTTCACTCTTCAGCAGCCGCCTGGGGAGAGAGAAACACCGTCAAGCAGCCCTCGATGGTACAGCTCCCGCTGTCCGGGTCACGGACACAACACAATGACGGGTGCTGGGCAATGACAGGGACCCAGCCAGGCCTCGGAGGGTGAACTTTCCCCGGCCCCGGTGATACCGCTCCGCCAATGTTCTCAGGGAACTGGGGTGATGAACATCCTACAGGGGGTCTGCTCCGTAGCTCACAAACACAGCCTTCTCAGGAAGGCAGTCACCGGAGGTCCCAGGAATGGAGCTGGTGGAGGCAGGCAGGGTGCCTGGCTTCATGTGAAATCAACCAACCAACCAATAAATAAACACAATACCAAGAAAGAGAAAGACCACAATTGTGCAAGCCCCCACATTTGCAGGCTTTACAGCCTAAATGCATTTGTTATGCATTCTTCAACCAAGGATTATAAAGTCTGGTTAGAGGGAGGGGCAATGATTGCCTCTCCTACAGAAAGAAATTGAGGCGCAGAGAGGTCCCCTACACAAGTCAGTGGCCGAGTTAACATTCAAACCCAGACCTTCTGCAAACTCAACATCTCTTCCCATAACCCCACCCCGTCTCTCCTCCAAATCCATGGGAGACATGCAACGTGGTGCCATGGTTTGAGTGGTCCTACGGCGGTAGGACCACTGGCATCCCCAGGGACCTGTGGCAGCGGGGAGGGGACCACAGTGGGGAGGACAGAGCATATGTATCCAGGCAGCGAACAGCTACTGCCTGTGATGTGCCATAGATTTTTCCGGCCCCTGGCACACAGGAATGAACGGGACAGGGGGGGCCTCGCTCTCATGCAGCTTCTATTCCAGGGGGAGGAGAGTGGACAGATAGCTTGTCAATCAACACCCTCACCCTCACAAGGTGAGTTCAGAGAGTCCCAATGCTAAGAAAAAAATGAAAAATAGGGCTATGGGCACCCGCACTCCTTTTCCTGTGACAAATGATGGGACTCTCCCTACTGCTCTTCCCTTAATTGGATCCAAACCAGGTGAGGGAGCTACAAGCAAGACTAACTGGCTTCCAGGTCCAGGGAGTTCCCTGGGACAGGCTTCCTGAGTTCAAGACCTTCCCCATCGGGTATCGTCACGTAGAATTATCTATCTGAACAATGTTGGCCCTCTCTGATCATTCAAGCTCTCCCTCTCTTGTCCTGGGTGGGCAAGTCAGTAAGCTCCTCTGTCCCTTATGAAACCCCGTCTTATTCCTGCCCGAGCACGTTACAGGCTAGACAGGGTCTCTGCCTGTGTGTGCAGAGTGTCCCCTGCAGCAAAACACAGGAATCAACCTGAATGGGCACCACGGAGGTGCTCCCAGAAAAAGTGTGCTCCCTTCAGACAACAGGATTCCACGTGACTGTGAGAAAGCAAGAGAGGGTGCAGAAGTGCGCTGAGCAATGCTATGAAAAGCTCTAAGTTACGTGAAGGAAAGAGAAAAAAGCAGGATGCGGAACCGTGTGGGTAACACGCTCCCTTGTGAAAAAGGGAACAATACACATTTTTATTTACACAATGTCAACCAATTCATCTGTCAAAACTGCTCCCACTTGCTTACTCTGGAATGGCTACGTGAGTTGCTTCCCAGGAGGCCCTCGGTGCTGAAATGAGCACCTTGCTTTTTAAACACGCACAACACACATACATTTTAAATATTATGTATAAATGCCCTCGGTTTTGCCCAGCCTGCATGGCTCAATGGTTGAGCACTGACCTATGAACCAAGAGGTTGCGGTTCGATTCCCAGTCAGGGCACATGCCTGGGTTGTGGGCTTGATCCCCAGTGTGGGGCGTGCAGGAGGCAGCTGACCAATGATTCTCTCTCATCATTCTATCTCTCTCTCCCTCTCCCTTCCTCTCTGAAATCAATAAAAATATATATGTATTTTTTTAAAAAAAATCTTTTTATTAACAATCACCACCACGAAGGTGACCTGGATGGCTTTAAGCCCAGAAGAAGTGGTAGCAGGGAGTTCCCATTAAGGGCACAGGAGCAGGAAGCAGGCTGTCCTAGGGCCCTCAGAGAATCCCACAGCCTCTCAGGCTGGTAACCAGTGAGCTTAACCCAGAGCAAGGGGAGGGAGAGGAGAGGGCGGAGCTGGCCCAGCTGCCAGGGAACAGACCAGGGCTGAGTCATATGCAAAATCCACCTTCTATTTCTATACTCTGTGTTTATTCTGCTCGGGTTTGGTTTACAAGGAAAGGATGCTTCGGAAAACTCTAGAGAAAGAGGGATTTTCCACCCCTCTGACTCGAAGCACCGCCTCCAGGGGGATGGGGGAGTGGCTTCCCCCAATGGGGGAAAGAGCGCCTGATGGAGAATAGGAAGGCTGGGAATTCCTAGCCTTTACGGAAAGCCTGCGCTGTGCTAGACGTGGTGCTAGGAGCCAGAAGGAGAGGACAAACCCGGAGCTCGGACAGATTTTTTCCTAGCGCCTCCTTCTCCAAAACTTGGGAGTCCCAGACCTAAAATCGCAGAGGGACAACTCGCCCCGCCCCCTGCCCCACTAAGTGAGCCAGTTCAGCTTGGAGAGCACAAGGAAGAAGAGAGGCAGGAGGAAAACAACAGAGTGAAGGAGCCTGTGGCTTGTGGTTGCCTGGATGCAAAGAGACGAAAACCCCCATGCTAGGATGTGCGCTCCTCCCAGCACAGCGGCCTGGCATCCCGCAGCCTCCTTCCACCCTTCCCACCCTTCCCACCCTTCCCCCGGAAACAGGAAAGGAATGACTTCTTGGAGCAAAAATAGATGACAGACAGACAGACGGACGGATGGGCAGATAAATGAATAAGGGATAAAAACCAAATTGCTGCTAGGATGAGGCCTGGCTTTCCCCCCCAGTTCAAGTTTACTGAGCGCTTACTAACTAGCAGGCACCGTTGTCAACAAGCTCCATGTGCTTCCTCATTTAAGGCTAAAACAAAACTCTCCATCAGTAACATCAGTAGCAGTAACATCTCCACTTTCCACACCCAAGGAAAGGGACCCTCGGAGGTGACCAGGGAGCGCGGGCAGCAAGCCCATCCCGGAGAGGAACCTCACCGACGGCAAGGGCCTGGAGGCAGCGCCGGGGGCTGTAGCCTGAGCGATAACCTGTGCAGGTGCACGTCACACGGGAGTCCCTGTGGCTGTTTCCTCAGTGGGAACTTGGGGATAGAGAGACACAGACTCCATAGGATGCTGCAGGGGCTGAAGGAATTAACCCTAGACCGGGAGTTCCTAGCGAATAGCAGTGAGCGTCAGCTGGGAGGGTTTGACCCAGGTCGTCTGACCCCCAAGCCCATACTCCTCTAACAGCTCCATTCTCTCTCTCTCTCTCTCTCTCTCTCTCTCTCTCTCTTGTCTAAAGTTTTACATATGTCTCCTTTTTCCCCAATTGACCCCCCCCCTGCCCCCGCCAGCCATTCCCACCCCGGGCAAGCCCCCACTGCCCCAGTGTCTGTGTCCATTGGTTATTCTAATATGCTAATATGCATGCATACAAGTCCTTTAGTCTCTCTCTAATCCCACCTCTCCCCTACCATTTGTCTCTAGATCGATCTATTCTTATTCATCAAATTATGTTGATCATTATATCCCACATATGAGTGAGGTCATGTGATATTTATCTTTCTCTGACTGGTTTATTTCACTTAGCATAATGCACTCCAGTTCCATTCTTGCTGTTGCAAATGGTAAAAGCTCCTTCTTTTTTATAGCAGCGTAGTATTCCATTGTGTAGATGTACCACAGTTTTTTAATCCACTCATCTGCTGATGGGCACTTAGGCTGTTTCCAAATCTTAGCTATTGTAAATCGTGCTGCTATGAATATAGGGGTGCCTATATCCTTTCTGATTGGCTCCTGGCACCTTCTTAAGAGTATCGCCAGACTAGCGATTAACCTGGCGTTAAGGACCCAGGTGAAGCTCACGAAGGGGGCCGCAGCGTAGGGGCCAGACCACCCCAACAGAAGGTGGAATGAAGTCGATGGGGGCAAAGCTCGGGGGAAGACTGTGGTGGAAGCAACATCCCAGCTTGCGCAGCTCCCATTCATCTCTTTCACACATTGGACGTCCAGGTTGCGTTTGAAAACAGGATCCTGCTGCCACCCACCAGCCGCAAGGAGAGGGAAGTGGGGGCGTGAGACGGTGGGAAGGGAACGCTTCTGTGGGACCCAGCCCCAAAGGGAAGTGGGGCATGAAGTTCAGGCAGAAACCAACAGGACCACAACAAACAAACGAAAAATGGGGAACCCCTCACTGTCTGCATTATCTCATCCCCGGTCCCTCCCAGGCTGACCCAGTGAGACACCGCCGCGGAGGACAGGGTTTCCTGTTGTTACACGACCCGCCGTCCTGCCCCTCATGCCCTTGTCAACTCAGCTTCCCACTTCTGGGGCTTGAAGGTAAGGGAGGTGTGACCGGAGCTGGGGTCCGGCTGGTTGAGAGGAACAGGGGTGGCAGGATGGCAGGAGAGTGGGGAGCAGCAGAAACGAGGTAAAGAAATCCCTCTGATGCAAGCCACCATCTCCCGTGTGCACCCAGAAAGACCCAAGGCAGCGACACCCCAAAGGAGGATGAGGCAGCTCAGAGGCAGGTCAGTCAGCATGAGTCAGGACACCTATCAGTTGCTCAATATCTCCATGCCATTTGGCAATTAGGGGCCACCCCCAAGTGGCCAGACCCTCCGCCCTGACCCCTTGGTGGGATCCTGCGCGGCCTCCTCAGGGACCAGCAGGGGCCCCAGGAACCTGGGCCTGGCCTGTAGCAGGTCAGTACCTACCCAACCTGGTCGCTAATCCCCTCTCCCCCCTCAAATGACCCACCTCGCTTCTGCAGCAGGAAATGTTTCGAGCCGTAGCACATGGAAACACCCCTTCCCTCCTCGGTCCACTGTGGGGCCCATCGGAGTTGGGTGAAATGCTAGTACCCCCACCCCTGTTTCTGCACCCCAGTGGGTGGCAGTGGGGACAGTGGAAAAGGCGGAGAAAACCAACAAAGAGCATTTCC